ATATTTTCGATATTAACAGAGTGGTTTTAGCTAAGAACGCCTTATCCACAGAGGTTATTCCCTCCTCATATGTACCTTCATTCAAGGTCAAGCTTGACACGCATGTAGAACCTAACTTCTCCGTAACAACTGCCTGCCCTTAGTTCACTTTTAAATTTGCATGCTGCTGTACTGTTCGCAAATATAAAGTAAGGCTTACATTTGTATTTTCACATACTTCAGCGAGCTTCTTACTTGTCGCGTTCACTTACGTAACCAGCTTTATTTTAATTGCTTTTACTTATCAATGTTCCTTTTGATATTTTTGTAACTAATGGGGGGCTTAAGAACGTTAGTCTATCTTTCCTCTCAAAATGCTGGACTAGATTAAGCTGAAATCGAAGCACATATGCCGCAACACCAATCGTCAACTCTAGATTTTTAAAGTTTCTTGTAAACTAAGAGCTCCGACTCAGCCTTCTTCGCATAGATGCTGCTGCATTAGCACGTCAAGGAGCGTCTTTTGAATTCGGTTTGAAAATTTCGATCTCCGAGGGATTTAACTTTTCCGAGTCTCCTGAGTCCTGGACACCCTGACGGCCTCTCGGAATTAACAAGTCGATTCTTCACAGCAATATCTGGATCCACACCGAATTTCAACGGGAGTTTCGTCCGGAAAACCTGTCACCTTCCGACCACATCTGACAGTCGCACCGCCATATTCCCGAAATACAATAACGGCTGAGTCGTTTTCTACTTACTTGATACCGTTGATCTCGCTTTTAATCGTTTCCATACCGTTAAAAACGTTTTAAGTTTATTGGCTTAATAGTGGCAGTCGATTCAGGCTCCTCCAGATATTGGGCAAAAAAACTGCTTCGGGACGGATTCGAACCCGGGCACAATAGTGATGCTGACATTGTCGCTACCACTACGCCACTTACGCGCGGCAGCCGGCTTGACAAAAATAATGAAATAACAGAAAAACGCTGTGCAAATGACTATTGCGATAAGTCTTCGGCTGTGAAATCACCTCCCGCCAAACGCGCAAGGAGTCTAATAACTTTATTGGATGTTAAATGCGAGGACGAAACCTGCACGTCATGTTTTAGACTCCTTCAGAAAATCTTGGAGATGGAGAAGGATATAAGGAATTTAAGATTTGAGATGGAGAAGCTGATGAGACTGCCTCACTATTCACCCGAAAGGAGAAAGGTGGCGATGTGGGAAGTTCGGAAGATGACCGAAAAAACGGCCAGTACGACTTCAATAACTGTATTAGCCCCTGAAAAAAAAGACAGCCCGTCTACGGACCCCATTGCAACCGAGACCACATCTCATGTGCGAGCGCAAAATAACCGAAGGGCATCTCAAAAAACCAGGAGACGTCTCAAAGCATCCCAAAAAGACCAAGTATGTCAGAGCGCCAGCAGGGGAGAGCAGAGTCCCCACAGAAGACAAGAAGATGCCTCACTGACGCAAGAGGTACCTCATGACCAGGAAGCCTCGATAAACGAGGAACCCTGCGGTAGCCATACCACGACAACTGTCGCTGAAGGGGACATCGATGACAACAAAAGCTTTCGGGGTGCCAACTGTGCGTATAAAAATAAACGCCAGCGCCCTATTGATCGCAATAAATGCATCATCGTAAAGGGTATGCCTGAGTCTTCTTCAGACATCCCAAAGAACAGAATAAGCCACGATATAGAATTATTCCAGCAATACCTCAAATCCCTATTACAAGAGAACGAGAACATCACCGTATTGAAAGCTTTCAGAATAGGACCCATTAAGGATTTGGAGGGCGAGTCGGGCCATCACAGACTATTAAAAATTATTCTCGAAAGTGAGGAACAAGCACTATTACTGTTGAATAGGAAACCAGCACTGCGAAATGCCCACCCAACAATTTTTTTCAACGGGATTTCTCACCGGCCGAACGGGAGAAATGGAGGGAACTCAAGGCCGAACTCCTCAGAAGATACAATGCCGGCGAGAAAAACCTAAGAATAATGAATGGCAAAATCGTAAATGTTCTGAGCTCATTCCTCTGGAAACAACCGATAACACTGAGCATAATGAACAACCAGATCATAGGGAAAGAACGCCCCTATCTGACAAACCGATCAGAGAAAACGACGGACAACACACTAACATCCAGTCCAATCAAACAGCAGTAGACTCGGAAGAGAACGATAGACCCGAAAACTCGCGCGAAGTATCCAGCAACTTCGGCCCAAGAATCGTTCGGGAATCTACCCGGTCTAAGCTCCGCTTTCTTTATGCAAATGCTCAGAGTTTGTTTCATAAGCTAGATGAGCTGAAAGTATGGATAACAGATACGCAGCCGGATGTCATTTCTATCACAGAGACTTGGTTCCAGACCGAAGTCTTGGATGCCGAAATAACACTTGAGGGATACCAACTTTTTCGCCGGGACAGACTGCATAGAAAAGGAGGAGGAATAGCGGTCTACGTCAAGAGAGCAATCATCGCGTCGGAACACAAAACCGATTGCTCCGGCGACTGTGAAGCAATGTGGTTAAAATTGAGGTTGCGTGGCGCACCTAATTTGAATTTCCTGACCGTATACAGGCCGCCCAATCAAACTGATGAGGTTGACGAGGCGATGTTTGGGCTAATTAAAGAGGTCTCACAAAACCAAGAGGTACTGATAACCGGAGACTTCAACGCACCCATGGTCGACTGGAACAATTTATTAGTAAATGGTTCGCGAAATTCGTTTGATTCCAGGTTCTTAAAACTAACGGCTAATCTCTTTCTGGTACAAAACGTCACGTTCCCAACCAGGATCAGAGCGGACCAAAGAGCAAATTGTCTGGACCTCGTCCTTACAAAAGACCCGATTAGCCCTGGCGAAATTAGGTCCATAACACCGCTCGGTAAGAGTGACCATGTCATGCTGTTTTGGGAATACCGCTTATGCAGCCAACAAGCGAATACGACTGAGCCTAGACTGAATTTCTGGCGAGGAGATTATGCCGCCATGAGAAGGGAATTATCGGCAGTGGACTGGGATGACTTTCTTTCGGGACATCCAGACGTTGATTGGAACGCTCTCAAAGGAGTTGTAACAGACATCATGCATCGAAACTGTCCGACAAAGAGAGTCAAAAGGAATAATCGTCCTGCCTGGATAACACGGGATATAAAGAAAGAAGTAAACAGGAAAAACAAAC